CTTAAATCACATTTAACTATTCTTGAGATCTTCATTTTTCTTAAGGCTCATATACATATATTAACTTTCTTATTTATTTTTTTTATCCTTTTATTGTTTATTAACTGTTTAGTCTTATCTTGTTGCTTATCTTTCATTTAGTCTGGTCATGTTTGTATTTGTCATTTGGCTTTATATATGTAAATTTATTTGTTAATGTTAATTAAGTCATTTATAACTGAAGAAGTATGTCCAGTGTCTTTTCTTACATTAATTTTCTCTTTGTGTTTATCTTACACAATTAATCCATACTAATAATAAAGTTCTCCATGGGGAAGTGGAACAGAATTCTTCCTCCATAAGCCATGCGTGTTGTAAGAGGCAACTAACATGCCGGGAGCAAGGGGCTAGTAACCTCTTCTCCTGTATATATTACTAAATGTAAAAGGAGAACCTTTCGTTTTTCCTTTTGGGCCACCCCGCCTCGGTGGGATACGGCCGGTGTGTTGAAAGAAAGAAAGAAAGAATTAATCCATACTAATAATAAAGTTCTCCATGGAGAAGTGGGACAGAATTCTTCCTCTGTAAGCCATGTGTGTCATAAGAGGTGACTAAAATGCTGGGAGCAAAGGGCTAGTAACCCCATCTCCTGTATACATTACTGAATACAAAAAGAGAAACTTCCGTGGAGGGAAGGCAGGGTAGGTTGTTGACCTAGGAAACATTGGAGGGAGGGGGTAAAGGAGGTTTTGTGTGCGAGGGGCTTGGACTTCCAGCAAGAGTGTGTGAGCGTGTTAGATAGGGGCAGATGGAGACAAATGGTTTTCAAGACTTGATGTGTTGTTGGAGTGTCAGCAAGGTAACATTTATGAAGGGATTCAGGGAAACTGGCAGACCACACTTGATTCCTGGAGATGGGAAGTACAGCGCCAGCACTCTGAAGGAGGGGTGTTAATGTTGGTGTTTTATAAATGTAGTGTAAATATGCTTCTGGTAAGACAGTAATGGAGTGAATGATGGTGAAAGTGTTTCTTCTTTTTTTTGGTGGGAAGCAGCTAATGTGTTAATAAAGAAAATAAATAATACACAGCACATGAACATAAATTATTTTTACATATGTTAATATGTTAATACTGTACAGTACTTAGAAGTTTGTGATGTGTCATATAAATTATTGATTTTTTCTCAGATGCTTTGCCCAGCTGTCTAGTTCTTATGAGCCGAATTATGGAGGTTTCAGTGAGTCACCGAAGTTTCCCCAGCCATCTAACTTCAACTTCCTATTTACGTATCATGCATTACACCCTGATTGGGATGATGCAAAGGTATACATCTCTTGAAATGTATCTGAGCAGTTTGCTACTTCACTTATTTATGATCAATAGTTCATTACAGTATTCTTTAGCCCTTTGACTGTTTCGCTTGTATACATACGTCTTACAAGCCACCGTGTTTGACGTACAGTAGACCGTTATTTAGCATGGTAGTTATGTTCCTGAAAATGACATGTGAGGTAAAATCATGCTAAATGAAATGAAGAACTTATGGGAAAAATAGGGTTACATTCCTGGGAGCCCCAAAAAGCCAAACAACTTTTTTTTAGACCAACAGATCTTGCAAAAATAAAAGTGAACATGTAATTGTAGTTCATTGCTTAAGACTACAAATGCAATAGAAATAATAGTATTTCTTATCTTAAATTGTGGGTAATGGTGTGTGTGGATGATTGTGGAGAGATTGGATATGGATGGTGTGGCCCAACTGGGCTGAGGTGGATGATTGTTGGTTGTTGACAGAAGTGGATGGTAGAAGTTCTGGTACTGAAGTCGATGGTTGTATTGGAGTGTGCATAAATTCTGTAATGGTTCTCTGGGCTGTTTTACCCTGCAATACATTATACAACTGAAGGTAAGGCATCATCAGCTGGTCTAGATCCCGTGTCAAAGCACTGCTTCTAGATTTGTCAGGGTCCTCTTCAGTGAAAAAGTCTGCAACTTTACCAGTAATATGGAACTGCTCACGTAATTGCTGCAATGTTAACTGTTTTTCTTCAGGTTCTTCTTCATCTTCTTCTTCTGTTATGTCCCTCCCTTATATCTGTGTCTCATCAGCATTAAACACTTGATGTGGCTCATAGCCACCCCCAGAAATAATTTCCTGCAATTCAGCAGGAAAATTACTTGTTGCTGTATGATCAGCTGAAGCACTTTCACCAGCAAACTTAATATTATGTAACTTATTATGCAACTTAAAGGTGTGGAACCAGCCTGTGCTAAACACACACACTTTTTCAGGGTTTCCTTCCTTATGACACTGCTTTAAACAACTGTAAGGTCTTTTCCCTAATTAAGAGGAAATTAAGTGGTGCACCTTTCTTTGTCTTATGTTCAGTCCACACAAGCAACAAGTTTTCTGTTTTATTTACTTGTTGGGACCTATGTGTCATTCTTTTCATGAGATGACATCTTGGATTATTCATTACACAAGCTCGTATATTCGCTTCGTTCTTTTTAATTGCATGAACCGACGCTTAATTAAGGCCATAGGCCCTCACTATATCCACCACATGTGATCCATTCTCAAGCTTGTCTAATATCTCAGTTTTCTTCGCAATTCCTAGACTTGAATGCTTAAACCTTTTCCTGTCACTTTCAGCAACACTTGTATGCTTACTGGGTGCCATTATTGCTTGGCAGATTTAACAAATGGCATTGAAATTAAGAAAATATGTATGTATATAGACACAGCTAGGTTCCCGAGTACCTTTGTCCTGCACGCGTATGAACTGAACTGGAGGCTGGGAGCATGGTGGGGGTGGGTGTGGGTGGCGAGGGGAATGGCAGTAGGCCTCCCCCATTGACTTAATGGTATAACCCTCCGCTGGCGACTGGGTGACCGCTTGCTCAAAACTTTTTCCCCTCTGCGAATCATGTTAAATTGATCATACGACGTGTTACATAAAAATGTGTCGCAATTCTTAAATCATGCTATACTCAAATCATGCAAAATAAACTTGTGTTAAATGACAGTCTACTGTATATATGCTGTACTCAAAAATTCTGGCGGCTTCAAATCAAGCAGGAGAAAGCTGGTAGGCCCACATGTGAGGGAATGGGTCTGTGTGGTCAGTGTGCACCATATAAAAAAAATCCTGCAGCACACAGTGCATAATGAGAAAAAAAACTCCGACCGTGTTTTTGGATTAACTCTTTGAGAGTCGACAGGCCCTCTCTGAAACTTGTTCTCAGGGTCGGCCAAATTTCAAAAAAAAAAAAAAATTATTTTTTCTTATGAAAAGATAGAGAATCTTTTTCCAATCATAATGACACCAAAAGTATGAAATTTGATGGAAAACTTACGGAATTATGCTCTCGCGAAGTTAGCGCTCTCGACAATGTTTACGCATCGGCAATTTTGCCCACTTTGAGCCCTATTTTCGGCCAATTCCAATGCACTAATCGACAAAAATCATAACTATTTTGCTAGAACTCCATTTTTTTCTATCGAATGAGTACAAGAAACCACCCATTTACCAATTTCAACTATCCAATAAAGTGGTCAGAATTTAGCAATTTTGCCAATTTCACACAAATTTCAAAAGATGCCAATTTCCGAATAACAAGTTCTCTGTTCGTTAGTCACATCCCCAGGCCCCTCTTATATTTCTTTGGCTTTCCACTTTGAATTTTTATTATTACAAAAAATAGAAGATTTACTGTTATGCAGACTGCTGCATTAGTGTAGAAATGGTATAAATAATATCAGCGTTCTTGTGAAAGAATATTAGACTCACCAGTTGACGTGTATTGAACGCTTGGCATGATTTGTTTACTTTTGAACTTTGATAAAAATCGAACATTTCTGCTACTTTGCGCTCAATTTCAAGGTACTTTTCATTGTAAAACCAGTCAAAATCATCTCAATTTTTGTAATATGTCTTCCATTCTATAAAATGAGACCAAGAAAAGTAGAATACAACAATAAATACCATACGAAAATACAGTGCAAAGTCGCTGTTTTATTCCAAAAACACGGTCAAAGTTTTTTTCTCTCATTATGCACTGTGTGCTGCAGGATTTTTTTTATACCATGCACACTGAGCACATAGACCCATTCTTTCATATGTAGGCCTACCAGCTTTCTCTCACCAGATTTGAGGGCACTAGAATTTAGGCGTACTAGTACATCAAAAACCGTGGGTCGTAAGCCGTACTAGTACGGCCGAAACCCTCAAAGGGTTAAAACACCGGCTTTGTGGTGTATTTTCGTATAGTACAGTGGACCCCCGGTTAACGATATTTTTTCACTCCAGAAGTATGTTCAGGTGCCAGTACTGACCGAATTTGTTCCCATAAGAAATATTGTGAAGTAGATTAGTCCATTTCAGACCCCCAAACATACAAGTACAAATGCACTTACATAAATACACTTACATAATTGGTCGCATTCGGAGGTAATCGTTATGCGGGGGTCCACTGTATTTATGGCTGTATTCTCATTTTCTTGGTCTCATTTGATAGAATGGAAAACTTATTATAGAAATAGAGGTGATTTTGATTGGTTTTACTATGAAAAGAACCTTGAAATGGAGCTCAAATTAGGGGAAATGTTTGATTTTTGCCTATGTTCAAAAGTAAACAAATGATGTTATTGTCCAATAAATGTCCAACTAGCCATTCTAATATGCAGTCATGAATGGGTTGACATTGTTTTTACAATTATTACAATATTTCAGTAGTCTGCATAACAGTAAATATTCTATTTTTTGTTTGAATAAAAATTCAAAATTGAAAGCAAGAGTAATATCAGAGGGGCCTGGAGACGTGACTAATGAACAAAGAAAATGTTATTTTAGAGCCAGGAATGTCTGCATTGTTCATTCTGGACCCTATTTTGAAACTGGCATATTTTTTAATTTGTGTGAAATTGGCCAAATTGCAAATTTCTGAACACGTTATTGGGTAGTTGAAATCTGTAAATAGGCAGTGTCTTGTACTCAATCAATAGAACAAATGGAGTTCTAAAGAAATAGCTGTGAGTTTGGTCGACTGGAACAATGGAATTAGCCAAAAATAGGGCTCAAAGTGAGCGAAGTTGCCGATTCGTAAATATCGCCGAGGTCGCTAACTTTGTGAGAACGTAATTGCATAAGTTTTCCATCAAATTTTGTTCTCTTGGTGTCATTACCATCGGGAAAAGATTCTCTATCATTTCATGAGAAAAAATATTTTTTTTTTTTCAAAAATTTTTCGACACCAGGAGACATCTCAGGATTTGGGGTTGCGACAGTCAAAGGGTTAAGAAATAATATTCTTTGTTGAAATTGAGTTTTTCATAATATACTTATGGAATGTTTATAAGTTTTGTTCCCTTTGTTATTGGGACAGTACAGTGGACCCCTGGTTAACGATATTTTTTCATTCCAGAAGTATGTTCAGATGCCAGTACTGACCGAATTTGTTCCCATAAGGAATATTGTGAAGTAGATTAGTCCATTTCAGACCCCCAAACATACATGTACAAACGCACTTACATAAATACACTTACATAATTGGTCGCATTGGGAGGTGATCGCTAAGCAGGGGTCCACTGTATTTTGATAGTCTGTCTTCCTGCTTGTACATCACTCATGTGTGGTAACCTTGCAGCCATCATCTGGATACTCAACTTACATATATGGGCCCCATACATTGTTTCTTCTTTTTATTTATTTTACTCTGATACACTCAGTATAATCATATATATATCTCTTACACTCTTGCTCTGTGTATATGTATATTTGTTTGTTTTTCTTTCTGTCTGTACCTTTTCATAGGGCATGAATATCACTATCCAGTAATGACTTCTGGATGGCAGTATTCTAATCCCACTTTCAAAGTTCAGCTGCTGTACCTCCCAGTCTCCAAAGCACAAGTCTAACTAGCTGGTTTCCTTGAATCCCTTCATATACAGTGGAACCTCGAAAATCGAACGTATTAAATATCGAACGTTTCAAAAATAAGACCATTTTTTCGGACAAACTGTGTACCAAAAATCGAACGCGTTTCAAATTTCGGACCACCGGGTACGGGACCTGTCCACTGGCCCGCTCTGTCCACGTCCCCGCGCAGGCGCCGTGAGCAGTCTAGCTTTGTTTATGCTTGAGTGAACACTAACCTGCGCTCTCATTCACACATTTTACGATTGTTTCGTTGTGTTTAGTGCTTGTGGGACTGTGAAATAAGCTGCCATGGGCCCAAAGAAACTTGCTAGCAGTACCCCTGTGGTAAAGAATGTAAGAAACACCATAGATGTGAAGAAGGAAATAATGCAGAAGTATGAGATTGGAGTGAGACTTGTTGAGCTTGCCAGGATGTACAGAGGACTGTGGACAGTTTTGTGAGACAGAAACAGACGACTGTGGACAGTTATTTTGTGAGACAGAAACAGACGACTGTGGAGTTATTTTGTGAGACAAACAGACGATTTGGACAGTTATTTTGTGAGACAGAAACAGACGACTGTGGACAGTTATTTTGTGAGACAGAAACAGACGACTGTGGACAGTTATTTTGTGAGACAGAAACAGACGACCGTGGAGTTATTTTGTGAGACAAACAGACGATTTGGACAGTTATTTTGTGAGACAGAAACAGACGACTGTGGACAGTTATTTTGTGAGACAGAAACAGACGACTGTGGAGTTATTTTGTGAGACAAACAGACGATTTGGACAGTTATTTTGTGAGACAGAAACAGACGACTGTGGACAGTTATTTTGTGAGACAGAAACAGACGACTGTGGAGTTATTTTGTGAGACAAACAGACGATTTGGACAGTTATTTTGTGAGACAGAAACAGACGACTGTGGACAGTTATTTTGTGAGACAGAAACAGACGACTGTGGAGTTATTTTGTGAGACAACAGACGATTGTGGAAAGTTATTTTGTGAGACAGAAACAGACGACCGTGGAGTTATTTTGTGAGACAAACACGATTGTGGAAAGTTATTTTGTGAGACAGAAACAGACGACTGTGGACAGTTATTTTGTGAGACAGAAACAGATGACTGTGGACAGTTATTTTGTGAGACAGAAACAGACGACTGTGGAGTTATTTTGTGAGACAACAGACGATTGTGGACAGTTATTTTGTGAGACAGAAACAGACGACTGTGGATAGTTATTTTGTGAGACAGAAACGGAGGACTGTAGACAGTTATTTTGTGAGACAGAAACAGACGACTGTGGACAGTTATTTTGTGAGACAGAAACAGACGACTGTGGATAGTTATTTTGTGAGACAGAAACGGAGGACTGTAGACAGTTATTTTGTGAGACAGAAACAGACGACTGTGGACAGTTATTTTGTGAGACAGAAACAGACGACTGTGGATAGTTATTTTGTGAGACAGAAACAGAGGACTGTAGACAGTTATTTTGTGAGACAGAAACAGACGACTGTGGATAGTTATTTTATGAGACAGAAACAGACAGCTGTAGACAGTTATTTTGCGAGACAGAAACAGAGGACTGTAGACAGTTATTTTGTGAGACTGGGGTCCAATGACTCTCAAGCTGGTCCTAGTGGCATTAAAATACAGAGAAGGGAAGCAACCCCAGAGAGGGCTTTGATACCGGAAGTCCTCATGGAGGGGGATTCTCCTTCCAAACACTAACCCCAACTCCCTCTCTCCTCCTCCCTATCTTCCAGATGCCATCACCAATCTTCAATAAAGGCAAGTAAAAATGTTATTTTATATTACTATACATAATTAAAGACTATAGCATTTATTGTGTGTATGTAAAACTGTAATTAATCTATAAAATGTATTTTTTTTGTGAATATTTTTGGGTTTCTGGAACGGATTAATTGTATTTCCATTATTTCTTATGGGAAATATTGTTTCGAATTTCAGACTTTTCGAATTTAGAACTAGCTCCTGGAACGGATTAAGTTCGATTTTTGAGGTTCCACTGTACATTATTTTGTTTGAACTCTAATAGCATGATGTAGGACATGTGCCACTTGTCCTTACTTTGATTTAACACATTTATATAGGCCTGCTGGAGGCTCAGTCACATTACCTCTCAACACCTCCCTCTAGCGCCTTGCATCTCAACACTTCACCCCTCGCTCCTTCATTGCACACCCTCTACATCTTTTATTCACCCCAGATTAATACAGCATCTTTTTCTATCTAACTTTTTCAATTATTTCCACATGACCAAACCCCATCATTGCCATTCTTTATCTAAATGCATTCTCAAAAAGTCCACCTTGGTGCTGTTGCTCATGCTATACTATAACTTTATGATCTTAATCATTACTGTTGAAAAATGTATACTTATGCATGTTTTTACCAATAGTTTTTATGGTGTATTGTTTGCTTTCAAAACTTACAATAAAACATATCTATCATTTGCCTATCATGTCTGTCATTCTCTTTCTATCTTCTGAACATATAAGATAGCATGTAAATCATACAAACTTCTACTTTCATCCAGTATTTGCTTTCTTGTGTTTTTTAATAGCTTCTGTTCTATAACATTTCCTTTAATAAGTCTTGGTTTAAGACCAGGCCATGAGAGCACTGATGGATGCAACCATTAACAGTGTAGTTAATTGTTACTGCATGCAGTAACAGTACTAAGTGCTGTACTGAAACATTATTGCATCAATATTATCGTAATTTTATTTTTTCAGCGAGGATTAGAAATGGCACTTCATACCCTGTCAAAAATGGATCGAGGCGGTATTCATGATCACATATCTCGGGGTTTTGCCAGGTAATTGTAATTTTAAGATCTTTTTGAATTAAGATGCAAGACTGGCAATGTTAATTTTAATTTGTCTCTTGATAAGTAACAAAATGTGAATAAAAAAATTATTAAAGTAAATTGTAATTGTTTTATTAAACCATACTATACATAATTCTGATTGTTTTACCAGTTTCTTTACATGTTGTGAAAAATAAGTACTGACTAATACCATTCCTGCTTTTGAAACGTGTATTCGCTTCCCTTATTTGGAGTGGAAATTTAATAGATGTTTAGTTAAAACTAACATATAATTGTTTCATATAGCATGTATTAAATTAATTTATTTGAAGGTATGCATACTATATTAAGGATATTTTGAAAGGTACTCCACAGATGAAAGATGGCACGTCCCTCATTTTGAGAAGATGCTATATGACCAAGCCCAACTGACTGTCTCATATCTTGATGCGTTCGTTGTCACCGGCAAGACCAGATATGCTGATGTAGTGAGAGACATCCTGATGTATGTGATGCGAGATCTCAGTGATCCAGTAAGTGCTAATGTAGTGAGAGACATTTTGATGTATGTGATGTGAGATCTCAGTGATCCAGTAAGTGCTAATGTAGTGAGTGACATCCTGATGTATGTGATGTGAGATCTCAGTGATCCAGTAAGTGCTAATGTAGTGAGTGACATCCTGATGTATGTGATGCGAGATCTCAGTGATCCAGTAAGTGCTAATGTAGTGAGAGACATCCTGATGTATGTGATGTGAGATCTCAGTGATCCAGTAAGTGCTAATGTAGTGAGTGACATCCTGATGTATGTGATGTGAGATCTCAGTGATCCAGTAAGTGCTAATGTAGTGAGTGACATCCTGATGTAGTGATGTGAGATCTCAGTGATCCAGTAAGTGCTAATGTAGTGAGTGACATCCTGATGTATGTGATGTGAGATCTCAGTGATCCAGTAAGTGCTAATGTAGTGAGTGACATCCTGATGTATGTGATGTGAGATGTCAGTGATCCAGTAAGTGCTAATGTAGTGAGTGACATCCTGATGTATGTGATGTGAGATGTCAGTGATCCAGTAAGTGAGAATCTATTACAATAAAAAGGTAAAATTTAAGAAATTGTTCATTTATGCCAGTCTTTGTGCCGAGTTGTAAAGACTTCCCATTATAATTAATTTTATGGCACATTGAATGTCATACAATAAGTGCCATACAATAAGTGTCAGGGGCCCGAGACTGTTCAACTGCCTCCCAGCATACATAAGGGGGATTACCAACAGACCCCTGGCAGTCTTCAAGCTGGCACTGGACAAGCACCTAAAGTCGGTTCCTAACCAGCCGGGCTGTGGCTCGTACGTTGGTTTGCGTGCAGCCAGCAGCAACAGCCTGGTTGATCAGGCTCTGATCCACCAGGAGGCCTGGTCACAGACCGGGCCACGGGGGCGTTGACCCCCGGAACTCTCTCCAGGTAAACTCCAGGTACATTAAGAATATTGTTTACTAAGTGTAAGATTTTTACAACAGGTTATTGGGTGACTGAGATGGTTGGAGACATGCCAAAATCTCTATACTCGTATGGTAAGGTTCTCTGGGAGTGGAGTATAATTGATATATTTAATTGTATAAGTATAATAATTGATAAATAGGCGAGTACAGGCTTCAGTGAACAAGCCAATAGAAGCTGTGAAGATAAATTTTTTTCAGAGTGGAGGCTTTTATAGTGCTGAAGATGCTGATTCACTACCCACCGCTGATGCAAACAAAAAACGTGAAGGAGCCTTTTGTGTGTGGACTCACGAGGAAGTTACCCAGCTGTTGCCTGGGGCAGCCAAGGAAGGCCATGAAGCAACCCTGGCTAGTGTCTTCTGCCACCATTACTCAGTAGCAAGGGATGGTAATGTTAATCCTTATCAGGTAAGTTCATGTTTGCCTTGAAAGGGAAGTGTGAGATCAACAATTGCAGGATTATTTTATCATGTTATTTGGTGGTACACATTTGATTTTTACCACATTGACCATCGTCAACCAAAGTAGTGTGACTTGATTAGTGTACAAGCATTCAAATGGCATTTGTTGTTGCATGTGTTCTGAATTAGAATAAACTTTAAGTAAAACTTTCTTTTTTTTTTTTTTTTCAACAAGTCGGCCGTCTCCCACCGAGGCAGGTGACCCAAAAAACGAAGAAAATCCCCAAAAAGAAAATACTTTCATCATCATTCAACACTTTCACCACACTCACACATAATCACTGTTTTTGCAGAGGTGCTCAGAACACATCAGTTTAGAAGCATATACGTATAAAGATACACAACATATCCCTCCAAACTGCCAATATCCCGAAGCCCTCCTTTAGAGTGTAGACATTGTACTTCCCATTTCCAGGACTCAAGTCCGGCTGTATAAAAATAACCGGTTTCCCTGAATCCCTTCACTAAATATTACCCTACTCACACTCCAACAGATCATAAGGTCCCAAATACCATTCGTCTCCATTCACTCCTATCAAACACGCTCATGCACGCCTGCTGGAAGTCCAAGCCCCTCGCCCACAAAACCTCCCTGCCAAGCTTTTCGAGGACGACCCCTACCCCGCCTTCCTTCTACAGATTTAAATGCTCTCCATGTCATTCTACTTTGATCCATTCTCTCTAAATGACCAAACCACCTCAACAGCCCCTCTTCAGCCCTCTGACTAATACTTTTATTAACTCCACACCTTCTCCTAATTTCCACACTCCGAATTTTCTGCATAATATTTACACTACACATTGCCCTTAGGCAGGTCATCTCCACTGCCTCCAACCACCTCCTTGCTGCTGCATTCACAACCCAAGCTTCACACCCATATAAGGATGTTGGTACTACTATACTTTCATACATTCTCTTCTTTGCCTCCATAGATAACGTTTTTCTTGACTCCACATGTACCTCAATGCCCCACTCACCTTTTTTCCCTCATCAGTTCTATGATTAACCCCATCCTTCATAAATCCATCCGCCGACACGTCAACTCCCAAGTATCTGAAAACATTCACTTCTTCCATACTCCTCCTCCCCAATTTGATATCCAATTTTTCTTTATCTAAATCATTTGATACCCTCATCACCTTACTCTTTTCTATGTTCACTTTCAACTTTCTACCTTTACACACACTCCCAAACTCATCCACTAACCTTTGCAGTTTTTCTTTAGAATCTCCCATAAGCACAGTATCATCAGCAAAAAGTACCTGTGTCAATTCCCATTTTGTATTTGATTCCCCATAATTTAATCCCACCCCTCTCCCAAACACCCTAGCATTTACTTCTTTTACAACCCCATCTATAAATATATTAAACAACCATGGTGACATTACACATCCCTGTCTAAGACCTACTTTTACTGGGAAGTAATCTCCCTCTCTTCTACACACCCTAACCTGAGCCTCACTATCCTCATAAAAACTCATTACTGCATTTAGTAACTTACCACCTATTCCATATACTTGCAACATCTGCCACATTGCTCCCCTTTCCACTCTATCATATGCCTTTTCTAAATCCATAAATGCAATAAAAACTTCCCTACCTTTATCTAAATACTGTTCACATATATGCTTCATTGTAAACACTTGATCTACACATCCCCTACCCACTCTGAAACCTCCTTGCTCATCCACAATCCTACATTCTGTCTTACCTCTAATTCTTTCAGTAATAACCCTACCATACACTTTTCCTGGTATACTCAGTAAACTTATTCCTCTATAATTTTTACAATCTCTTTTGTCCCCCTTCCCTTTATATAAAGGGACTATACATGCCCTCTGCCAATCCCTAGGTACCTTCCCCTCTTTCATACATTTATTAAACAAAAGTACCAACCTCTCCAACACTATATCCCCCCCTGCTTTTAACATTTGTCATGATCCCATCAGTTCCAGCTGCTTTACCCCCTTTCATTCTACGTAATGCCTTACGTACCTCCCCCACACTCACATCCTGTTCTTCTTCACTCCTAAAAGATGGTATACCTCCCTGGCCAGTGCATGAAATTACCACCTCCCTTTCTTCCTCAACATTTAAAAGTTCCTCAAAATATTCTCGCCATCTACCTAATACCTCCATCTCCCCATCTACTAACTCCCCTACTCTGTTTTTAACTGACAAATCCATACGTTCCCTAGGCTTTCTTAACTTGTTTAACTCCAAATTTTTTTCTTATTTTCATTAAAATTTATTGACAGTGCCTCTCCCACTCTATCATCCGCTCTCCTTTTGCACTCTCTCACCACTCTCTTCACATTTTTTTTACTCTCCATATACGTACTCTGCTCTTTTTATAACACTTCTGCTTTGTAAAAACCTCTCATAAGCTAACTTTTTCTCCTTTATCACACCCTTTACTTCATCATTCCACCAATCACTCCTCTTTCTCCTGCCCCACCCTCCTATAACCACAAACTTCTGCCCCACATACTAATACTGCATTTTTAAAACTATTCCAACCCTCTTCAACCCCCCCACTACTCATCTTTGCACTAGCCCACCTTTCTGCCAATAGTCGCTTATATCTCCCGAACTTCCTCCTCCCTTAGTTTTATACACTTTCACTTCCCTCCTACCTGTTGTTGCCTCCTTCCTCTTGTCCCATCTACCTCTTACTCTAACTGTAGCTACAACTAATAATGATCTGATATATCAGTTGCCCTCTATAAACATGTACATCCTGGAGCCTACCCATCAACCTTTTATCCACCAATACATAATCTAATAAACTACTTTCATTATGTGCTACATCATACCTTGTAAAATTTATTTATCCTCTTTTTCATAAAATATGTATTACTTATTATCAAAATATTTTCTACACATAGCTCAATTAAAGGCTCCCCATTTACATTTACCCTGGCACCCCAAATTTACCTACTACTCCCTCCACAACATTTTTACCCACTTTATATTAATCATTTAAATTTAATACATACCAAGATTGTTATTCAGAACAAAAGTGATAGCTCTCTGTAGATGATCAGTGAATTTTTCTTGTAAATTACGGTGGTACATTCTCTCTACGAAAAATGTAATAAATCCCATACTGTATTTAATGTTGAAATATTCATCTGATCCTAGGTAGTAGGTTGGTAGACAGCAACTGCCCATGGAGGTAGTACCGTCCTGCCAAGTGAGTGTAAAACGAAAGCCTGTAATTGTTTTACATGATGGTAGGATTGCTGGTGTCCTTTTTTTCTGTCTCATAAACATGCAAGATTTCAGGTACGTCTTGCTACTTCTACTTACACTTAGGTCACACTGCACATACATGTACAAGCATATACAGTGGACCCCCGCATAACGATCACCTCCGAATGCGACCAATTATGTAAGTGTTTTTATGTAAGTGCGTTTGTACGTGTATGTTTGGGGCTGTGAAATGGACTAATCTACTTCACAATATTCCTTATGGGAACAAATTCAGTCAGTACTGGCACCTGAACATACTTCTGGAGTGAAAAAATATCGTTAACCGGGGGTCCACTGTATATACACATCCCTCTGGGTTTTCTTCTATTTTCTTTCTAGTTCTTGTTGTTGTTTATTTTCTCTTATCTCCATGGGGAAGTGGAACAGAATTCTTCCTCCGTAAGCCATGCGTGTTGTAAGAGGCGACTAAAATGCCGGGAGCAAGGGGCTAGTAACCCCTTCTCCCGTATAAATTACTAAATTTAAAAAGAGAAACTTTCGTTTTTCTTTTTGGGTCACCCTGCCTTGGTGGGATAGGGCCGGTTTGTTGAAAACAAAAAAAAAAAAAAACATTCTCTCTACAAAAAATGTAATAAATCCCATACTGTATTTAATGTTGAAATGTTCATCTGATCCTAGGTAGTAGGTTGGTAGACAGCAACTGCCCATGAAGGTAGTACCGTCCTGTGGTAGTAGGTTGGTAGACAGCAACCGCCCAGGGAGGTACTACCGACCTGTGGTAGTAGGTTGGTAGACAGCAACCACCCAGGGAGGTACTACCGTCCTGTGGTAGTAGGTTGGTAGACAGCAACCACCCAGGGAGGTACTACCGTCCTGTGGTAGTAGGTTGGTAGACAGCAACCACCCAGGGAGGTACTACCGTCCTGCCAGTGAGTGTAAAACGAAAGCCTGTCATTGTTTTACATGGTGGTAGGTTGCTGGTGTCCTTTTTTCTGTCTCATGAACATGCAAGATTTCAGGTACGTCTTGCTACTTCTACTTACACTTAGATCACACTACACATACATGTACAAGCATGTATATACACACATCTCAGGGTTTTCTTCTATTTTCTTTCTAGTTCTTATTCTTGTTTATTTCCTCTTATCTCCATGGGGAAGTGGAACAGAATTCTTCCTCCGTAAGCCATGCATGTTGTAAGAGGTGACTAAAATGCCGGGAGCAAGGGGCTAGTAACCCCTTCTCCTGTATAGATTACTAAATTTAAAAAAAAGAAACTTTTGTTTTTTCTTTTTGGCCACCCTGCCTCGTGGGATACGCTGATTTGTTCAAAAAAAAAAAAATTGTTCATCTCATCCTATATACTTTTCTTCCTGCCCTCAGGATCCCCATGACGAACTCAAAAATCAGAATGTTCTCATAGAGCATGACACAATTGAAGAAACTGCCAGGGAATTTGGACTGAGTCAAGAAGAATGTAAAGCAGCACTTGACAAAGCCAGACAGATGTTGTACATGGCTAGACAAGAGAGACCCAGGCCCCATCTTGACAACAAGATGCTTACTTCTTGGAATGGTTGTGTGGCCTTAAGTTTATTTCTATCTGAATATTTGTTGTTATACTGAAAAATATTATTTAAATTTGTAAATATCCACCTAACCTTTGCATAACCATAGAAAATTGATTTTGATATTATATGTCAATGAAGCTTTGGCAATAAACTTAACTTTGTTTTTATTTATCCAAGCGATAAATTTGCAGAAATGAACAGCAGCTACGCTACAGCATATTTCTCAGAAATAGACTAATGGTGTGTGATGTTATTTATTGTCTGTGGAAAAATTTTAGGTATGATGCTTGGAGCGTTGGCGAGAGCTGGTGCTGTTCTTGGAGATCAGATGTACATACAGAGGGCTCTGCAAGCTGCTGAATTTGTCATGAGCCATCTTCTCAAGGATGATAAATTACTTAGGGCTGCTTATGCTGTTCCAAATAACGAAGTGTCGCTGTAAGTTCTGTCTTATATATGGCATATGTGCATGTACTCATTTCTCAGTGTTTGCGTGTAGTAGGCTGGCATAAATAACCATCCAAGGAGGTGGCACTGCTTCCATGTCATGTAAGTCAAACTGAAGCGTGGTCAACTTTTGTACTCTGGTATCTTTATCTAGGAAATTGGATCTGTGCTCCAGTTCACTGAATTAAGCCTGAAACCTTCTGCCACTTCCCTCTCCCAGGAGCTGTATAATCCTTATGGGTTTAGTGCTCCCCCATGATAATAATAATAGTAATAATAATAATAGTGATAATAATAATAATAATGTAGGGCTGGTCTTCTTGTTCAGTCTCATGAATATGCCTAACGGTAGATTGGTAGGTAAGACACATAGGCAACAGTTAGGCAACTTTATTCTGAAACGTTTCACCTACACAGTAGGCTTCTTCAGTCGAGTACAAAAGTAGGCAGGAGCAGTAGAGATGTGAAGACAATGTACACCTACCATCTGACTTACGACCGAGTTCGGTTCCGAGAAACCGGTCGTAAGTCGAAATGGTCGTAAGTCGAACTTTACTACTGAATATCAACATAACATTTTTGTAATGACTTTATTTTATTGTTTTATTTTGGTATTTCATGTTTTACTTTACTTTTTATGCTGTTAGTACTGTATTTTATACTGTAAGTTTAGGATAAACACTGTGTACAGCACAAGCACTTATTTATTTCCCAGAAATTTGGCATAAAAAACACGGTCGTAAGTCGAGTCGTCGTAAGTCGAGCAGTTCGTAAGTCGGATGGTAGGTGTAATCAGTCCATCACCATTAAAGTTGGAGGTTTGAGGTCGTCAGTTCTTCAGCCTGGAGAAGAGTTCTGTTCCATAGTCTAAAACAATCTGAAGGAACAAGAGACAGTGTGGAGACTTATATACTGTTGGAAGGAGACGTGCAGGGTGGTAGTAGAGAGAATTTAGTCACTGAGAAGTCATGTCTCTCTCAGATCCAACACTTCTCACTTGAAAAAGTTGTCCAAGGTGTTTTCTCTTCTGTACCATAAGAACATGAGAACATAAATGAGGAACAGTGCAGCAGGCCTGTTGGCCCATACTAGGCAGGTCCTTAACAATCCTTCCCACTAGCAAAATATTTGCCCAACCCAACTTACAATGCTACCCAAGAAATAAGTTTTGATGATTCTATTTACTCATTATGCAAGTCTCACTCATATCCAACCCCTCTCACTCATGTATTTCTTCTTTCTTTTTTCAACGTACCAGCCGTATCCCACCGAGGTGGGGTGGCCCAAAAGAAAAAACTGAAGTTTCTCCTTTTAAATTTAGTAATATATACAGGAGAAGGGGTTACTAGCCCCTTGCTCCCGGCATTTTAGTCGCCTCTTACGACACGCATGGCTTACAGAGGAAGAATTCTGTTCCACTTCCCCATGGAGATAAGAGGAAATAAACAAGAACAAGAATTAGAAAGAAAATAGAAGAAAACCCAGAGGGGTGTGTATATATATGCTTGTACATGTATGTTTAGTGTGACCTAAGTGTAAGTAGAAGTAGCAAGACTTACCTGTAATCTTGCATATTTATGAGACAGACAAAAGACACCAGCAATCCTACCATCATGTAAAACAATTACAGGCTTTCGTTTTACACTCACTTGGCAGGACGGTAGTACCTCCCTGGGCGGTTGCTGTCTACCAACCTACTACCTAGACTCATGTATTTATCTAACCTAAATTTGAAACTACCCAAGGTTTTAGCTTCAATAACCCTACTAGGCAGACTGTTCCACTCATCAGCTACCCTGTTTCCAAACCAATACTTTGCTATATCCTTTTGAAATCTAAACTTATCTAATTTGAATCCATTATTGCGGGTTCTTTCTTGAAGTGATATCCTCAAAACCTTATTTATATTCCCTTTGTTAATACCTATCTTCCACTTATACACTTCGATCATGTCTCCCCTCATTCTTCGTCTTACAAGTGAATGTAGTTTAAGAGTCTTCAATCGTTCTTCGTACGGAAGATTTCTAATGCTATGTACAGTGGACCCCCGGTTTACGATCACCTCTCAATGCGACCAATTATGTAAGTGTATTTATGTAGGTGCGTTTGTATGTGTATCTTTGGGGGTCTGAAATGGACTAATCTAATTCACAATATTCCTTATGGGAACAAATTTGTTCAGTACTGGCACCTGAACATACTTCTGGAATGAAATAATATCGTAAACCAGGGGTCCACTGTATTAATTTGGTCATTCTACGCTGGATATTTTCTAGGGAATTTATATCCATTCTGTAATATGGAGACCAGAACTGAGCTGCGTAATCTAGGTGAGGCCTTACTAATGATGTATAAAGCTGGAAATAAATGGTATAAAATACCGACACAATGGAAATATAAACACATATGCAGTATAATGTGATCCTTTATTGACAACGTTTTGCCCACACAGTGGGGTTTTTCAAGTCACAAACAGATCTACCTGGGGTGGAAGGTATGCGAGTATTTATAGTCAGGTTCAGAATGTTGAGGTCAGGTGGAGAATGCTGCATCTGATGATGTACCGAGTGGGGTTATAGAGTCTAAAATCTTGGGTAGCTTGGAAGGGAGATTGGATAAGTTTGTGAGCAGACCTTCTACAGTGTTCTTCCATTCCTATGTTCTTATGTGGGATAGCGATGAAGAAGTTTCTTGGCAAGAAACTTCTTTATCGCTTTTTCATCGCTATCCCACATAAAAACTTAAACTTCTGTACCAGGGCTTTGGTAAGATGGGTAAGGAAGAAGGATGGGTAAGGATAGAAATATTGGAAAAGGGAGGGGGCGTGGGGAGAGAGGTAGGATATAAAAGGTAAGTGGCCCAACCACTTTGGCGTAATTTAAAAAGTGTATGTGGAATAATAAAATATTCTTGAAGGGGTATAATACTAACCCATCAGAGTCACATAGATATAACAGATATATAAGTACATGACTCTGAATTGGTAGTAAATATACAAGTTGCAATTTTTTTTTTTTTTTTTTTTCCTCTCAATTGCCCAACGGATATTTAAGTGACAATGAAGGCAATAATTTCCAGGCCAGTTCATAAAGAATTACTTTTCACATCAGCTTCACATAAGAACATAGGAATGGAAGAACACTGCAGAAGGTCTGCTTACAAACTTATCCAATCTCCCTTCCAAGCTACCCAAGATTTTAGACTCTATAACCTCACTCGGTACATCATCAGATGCAGCATTCTCCACCTGACCTCAGCATTCTGAACCTGACTATAAATACTCGCGTACCTTCCACCCCAGGTAGATCTGTTTGTGACTTGAAAAAGCCCACTATGTGGGCGAAACGTTGTCAATAAAGGATTACATTTATACTGCAAGGTTTTTTAATTTCCATGTATAAAGCTGTAAAATAACCGCTGGACTTCTGTTGCTTACACTTCTAGATATAAATCCCAGTAATCTGTTTGTTATGTACACTTAGGCATTGCTGTCTTGGTTTAAGGTTGCTGCTCACCAAAACTCCCAAATCTTTTATGCAGTCTGTATGGCTAAGTTCTACGTTATTTAACTGAAAAGTACAGTGGACCCCCGGTTTACGATCAGCTCCCAATGCGACCAATTATGTAAGTGTATTTATGTAAGTGCGTTTGTATGTGTATGTTTGGGGGTCTGAAATGGACTAATCTAATTCACAATATTCCTTATGGGAACAAATTCAGTCAGTACTGGCACCTGAACATACTTCTGGAATGAAATAATATCGTAAACCGGGGGTCCACTGTACTAGGGTTATGGACACTCCCGAGCTTCAGAACCTTGCATTTATCTACATTGAACTGCATCTGCCACCTTTCTGATCACGAACTGAGCCTGTCCAAATCCTCCTGAAGTTCTGTGACATCTAAGTTTTAATCAATTATCCTACCTATCTTTGTGTCATCGGCGTATTTGCTCATATCACTAGTAATTTCCTCATCAAGGTCATTGATATATATTATAAATAACAAGGGGCCCCAAAGGGACTGATCCCCGTGGAACACCACTTGTTACAGATCCCCACTCGGTTTTAAACCCCCATTTAAGCATACTCTCTGCTTCCTATTGGTGAGCCATGACTCGATCCATGACAGCACTTTTCTTCCAGTGCCATGAGCTGCCACTTTCTTTAACAGTCTCTGGTGCTGTACTCTATCAAAAGCCTTACTAAAATCTAGATAAAACAATATTGAGTTCTTTATCCTGATCAGTGGCCTCAAAAGCTTTACTGAAGAAAGTTAATAAATTAGTTAGGCAGGAACGGCCCCTCTTGAATCCATGCTGAGTATCATTAATCAAGCTGTGCTTATCGAGATGGCTTCTTATGTTATCAGCTATAATTGACTCAAGTAATGTGCCTACATTTGAGGTCAGGCTTATTGGGCGGTAATTTGACGGTAACGACTTGTCCCCTGCTTTAAAAATAGGAATTACATTAACCATCTTCCACTTTATCAGACACTACACCTGTTTGAAGAGAAATATTAAAAATATTAGTCAATGGTTCACAAAGTTCCATTTTACACTCTTTAAGAACCCTTGAAAAAAGTTCATCAGGGCCCGGGGATTTATTTTGCTTTAACCGGTCTATCTGTTTGATAACCATTTCGGTAGTGACTCTGATATTGCATTAATTTATCATCATTAGCCTCTTCAAGGGGGGCTCCTTGGCGTGGTTTAAGAGGCTCTTGGTCTGAAGAAATTAGACCCGTCGATCTCCTTCCTCAGACCGAACCTAATTACCCCCCAATCCCCCCTTCCCTCTCCCATCCTCCCCTTTTTCCTTTCCTCCTCCTCCTCCCCACCCCTCCCTTTTGCCCTTCCTTTTTGGCCTTTGGGATTTTTTCCCACAGGCACGCTAGTTCCTAGGTAGGGGAAAGGGTACTGGGGTCCATCCCATTCCGTTGAGGTTCTTGGCGGTGGTGTAGTTTGCTGTGGAATCTGGATTGCCTGG